ATGGAGAACAATAAACCCACGGGTCGCCCCAACTCTTAGGGTTTGGGGTTTGGGGTTTAGGGTTTAGGGTTTAGGGTTTGGGGTTTAGGGTTTAGGGTTTAGGGAAGCTTCAACTCAGAAGGTCTGGGGTTTAGGGCCTTGGGGGATTTCAGGAATTTTCGCTTCGGGTCGAGTACTATCTTTCAAGATGTCTTGCAAACTCTTACGTAACATGCACTGCCCTTGGTCGAAATGTGTGTTTGTGTGCGTTCGCAGCGCTCGGACGAGCTGAGACTACGACCCGAAATTTCACACGAGGAGTCACGCCCACGACAACCCTGAGAACCCTAAAAGGTTCAGGGTTGGGTTAGGGTTTAGGGTTTAGGGTTTAGGGTTAGGGTTTAGGGTTTAGAGGGTTTAGGGTTTAGGGTTTAGGGTTTAGGGTTTAGGGTTTAGGGTTTAGGGCTTAGGGCTTAGGGTTCAGGGAATCCTCCATCAAACCCTTCTCCACCCCCTCCCCCCGAGAAAAGCCTACACCTTGAAATCGCGGGCCTGCAGCGGGCAACTTTCTGCTTGAAGAGCCAGGACTAGTCTAGGAATAAGGGCCTGCGTGATAAGGGAACCTAAACCCGAGGAAGGTGATAAGGGAACCCAACTAAACTCTAAACCCGAAACCCTAAACCCTAAACCCTAAACCCTAAACCCAAAACCCAAAAACCCTAAACCCTGCACCCTCCGAACCCTAAGTCATAAGAAAGCCCAAGGTGCGGCGAGCGCTTCGCCACATCTCCGAACGTCCGCTCGCCGCGCTTGGGCCCCCAGAGAGGGAATCGGGCCTGTTCGCGAAAACCCTAAACCCTAAACCCTAAACCCTAAACCCTAAACCCTAAACCCTACACCCTACACCCTAAACCCTAAACCCTAAACCCTAAACCCTAACCCTAAACCCTAAACATTTTTGCGGTACCCCAAAATATTAGGTGCCGCATTATAATACGGATGCAACAAGGGACCATGACTTTGACAACCACCCAAAGGGCGATTTCTCGAGACTATGGGGTCGTTCATATGGGGCTTCGTAGGGCCTAGCCCCTTAAACGGGGGAACCCATCCCCAGCAAAAACCAGAAACCCTGAATTAAAACCCTCTAAGCCACAATCTCTAGGGATGGTAGCCACCCATGAACTCAACAGGAAGGCTGGTGATGGAGGAGCTTGACAGTTCGCAACGGGAAGCAGGGGCGAAGGGTCAAAACTGACCTCGCCAGCAGCAGCCCTAAACCCTAGACCCAAGATGGCGAACGTGTTACAGGCGTTCAGCAGCATCTTCTTGAGGGCAGACACATGGCACCCCGGCGCTCATCAACACGTCGCATGCTGAGATGCCCCTGTAAGAGAGCGTCTGCTGCTGGCACGCGCAAGATCTCAAACCGGCGCAATGTCGAGCGAAGCTAATGCTCGTTTTTGGACACCCCTACACCGCCCAAACCCGAAGCCCCGGCAGTCAACGCCCTCGAAAAGCCCGGTCGCGGTGGAAGCTCACGTTTACCTCAAAGGTGGATCGTCCAGGCGCATGCAGGGCGGACCCCAATGGGGGTTTGGGGTTTAGGCGATTAGGGATTTAGGGTGTGTCGTGGCAACTACAAGCAGGGGTAACCTTTAAAGACGGGCTCAAGCCTCATTTATTTATGAAGTAGACCGACTTATACCTCACAGTCAAAGAGCTCTAGGGGACGAGGTTGATTGGGAGTGCCCTGAAAGACCTGGAGCCCAAACCCTCAACCTGCAACCCTAACCCTAAACCCTAAACCCTAAACCCTAAACCCTAAACCCTAAACCCTAAACCCTAAACCCTAAACCCAGTAACCCAAAAGTCGCGAGACACTCCATCTGGAGGTTCATGGGTAGGCTTACGTGGGGTTTCGAATATGGTAGCTCGCGTTCCACATAGGTTCCTCACAGACCAGCTTCTAGCTACATAGGGTTTAGGTTAAGGGTTTAGGGTTTAGGGTTTAGGGACCCAGTGACCCTAAACCCAAAGCCTTAAGCCCTGAAGCCGCACCAAACATGGCCTTCTTGAGCCGCACAGTGACCTGCACAGAAGAGTTCGTTTGGAGGTCTGGCCGTAGGCCCTAAGCCCTAAGCCCTAAGCCCTAAGCCCTAAGCCCTAAGCCCTAAGCCCTAAGCCCTAAGCCCTAAACCCTAAACCCTAAACCCTAAACCCTAAACCCTAACCCTGAAGCTAGTTTCTTGGTGGAGTGACAACACTCTTTGAGCTGTGCTTCTCTTGTCAGATGCCCATTCAGGCAACCATCTTTGTTTCAAAGGAGGGAACGGTTTAGGGTTTAGGGTTTAGGGTTTAGGGTTTAGGGTTTAGGGTTTAGGGTTTAGGGTTTAGGGTTTAGGGTTTAGGGTTTAGGGTTTAGGGTTTAGGGTTTAGGGTTTAGGGTTCAAAGTTTAGGGAACTGCTCAAACCTCAGCCCTAAACAGCCCCAAGCCCCAAACCCAAAGATCCCAAAACCCTAAACCCTTAACAACAAAAACTCCCAAGGATCCCAAATCCCGAAACCACTAGCGGATTGGCCCCATGCTCGTTTTGACGGCCGGCGTGGCACAGCTCTGGGTCCTGAAGACCCGCCGATGACTTCCCCGTACTTATGCGGAGCCGGCTAGCTTAGCCGTTTCAGAGCGCGCTCGAAAGGTTTAGGGGTTTAGGGTTTAGAGGCTTAGGGCTTAGGGCTTAGGGTTGAGAGGTTTAGGGCTTTCGTGGGTAGTTATAGCTGGGCCTCGGGGTTAGGGTGTAGGCTCTTTTTTGGGTTTGAGGTCAAAAAGTAAGGGGACCATAGGTATATTTGGTTCTACTTGAAAACCACCCATACCCTAGACCCTAAACCCTTAACCCTACGTGAACCCTGTAGCGCCCTTCAGGGGTCGCAGGTTTCGCGACCCTGACATTGAGCAGTCGATATTCGAGACGCCAAGATGGCGCCCGAAAGGCACGCAGACCCCTGGGAGGATAGAGGGTTTAGGGTTTAGGGTCAGGGTATAGAGGCCCGAATAATTAGAACAGGGTTTTGAAGGTTCTTAGAGTATAATTACAAAGGGACTACAAGGGAATACAATTGGAAATTATTCCGAGCATATATTAGATCCCCTTAAGGGTTCCTAAGAAAGACCCAAGAGTAGTGTAGGGTACTATTTGGGGGTTCTACTTTTTGGATCCTCCCAAGGATCTGGGTCACAACAAGCCACTCCATATGGTACAGGGTTGAGGGTTATAGGGGTTTCGAACATGGGGGGTATGCAGGTTCGTTCCTATAATAAGGATTCTAGTACTTTAGCCTCTTTCGGGAACCCTAAAGGCCCCAAAGGCCCTAAGCCCTAAACTCTATGTCTCAACCTTGCCCGTCTCTGGCACGTTCACAGGCTGTCCCACCACTACCTGAGTTCTGAAGCAGCCACAGAAGGAAAAAGAAGGGTTCAGCGTTTAGGGTTTAGGGTTTCGGGTTTAGGATTTAGGGTTGGAGGAAAAAATGGGCGTATAACATTTGTGCCGGGGGGGAGGGGCTTTGTGCAAAATGCCCAGAAGCCAGTAAAGTGAAAGAGAAGCACCCTAAACCCTAACACCCTATCACCCTAAGCCCCAAACCCCACACCCCAAACCCTAAACCACTCAAAGAGCCAGGGCACGGGAGACGTGGGGGCTCCCTGAACCATGCCACGGGGCATTGGCGGTGGGCCCCTGTTCCTCCTCCGCATCTCCTTGAAACTCCAAAAGACCCAAGGAATCAGAATGGTTAGGTTTAGGGTTTAGGGTTTAGGGTTTAGGGTTTAGGGTTTAGGGTTTAGGGTTTAGGGTTTAGGGTTTAGGGTTTAGGGTTTAGGGTTTAGGGTTTAGGGTTTATGGTTTAGGGTTTATGGTTATGGTTAGGGTTTTATGGTTTGGGTTAGGTTTTGGGTTTAGTTTTAGGGTTTAGGGTTTCGGGTTTGTGGTTGGGGTTTTGGGGTTTGGGGTTTGGGGTTTGGGGTTTGGGGTTTGGGGTTTGGGGTATGGGGTTTTAGGGTTTAGGGTTTAGGGTTTAGGTTTTAGGGTGCAGGGTTTAGGGTTGAGGGTTTAGGGTTGAGGGTTTAGGGTTCAGGGTTGAGGGTTCAGGGCTTTGGGTGTCGGGTTTAGGGTTTAGGGTGGGGTTTAGGGTTTAGGGGTTAGGGCTTAGGGTTTAGCTAAGTCAGAAGAACCCAGAAAAGCAAACAAAACATTGATTGGCTAAGCAAGTCTCATGCAGCAGCTTGAACTTTTTCCAGCCGCTGCAGCAGTACGGGCACAAGATCACGGCCTTAGGGGTGGAGCCTTCTCTCTTTTGTGTGTGCGCGCCCACGCGCGCAGGTGCGCGCGCGCGCGCGCGCGCGCGCGTGCGTGCGTGCGTGCGTGCGTGCGTGGGTGTGTGTGTGTGTTGCGTTTTCCTCTCACTCTCTCTTCTCTCTCTCTCTCCGCTCTGTCCCTCTCTTTGTCTCTGGTTTAGGGTTTTAGGGTTTAGGTTTAGGGCGCTCTCGCGCTCCTCTCTCTCTCTCTCTCTCTCTCTCTCTCTCTCTCTCTGTGGAGGTAGGTGGGTGGGTGGGTGGGTGGGTGGGGGGGGGTGCGTTTATGTTTGTTTGTTTTGGGTTTAGGCTTAAGGACACAAGAGCACGGCCTCCGGGCGGAACTTTTGCTGGCTGTTGTGTGGCGGAAGGAGGGGGTGGTTTCAGGGTTTAGGGTTTAGGGTTAAGGGTTTAGGGGCCTATGGTTAGAGGGCCGCTGCTTGCGTTGTCTAGGGAGACTAAAAGGTTCACCTTGGAAGTTTACGCACAGGACGTGAGGTTTGCCGTCGCGCATTGTTTTTCATTGGTTTTTGTGGGACGGGAGGCACCTCATGATGGTCAATTTTATTAGATGTTTTTCTGGCGTTGCGCTGCCGCTATGGGTTTTTGCTGATTTTTAAGCAAGTCCTGGTGTTGTTTGGCGCCACGTTTGCCGTCAGGCAGCATTTACATGGCTGGCTGCCTGATGTATGTGCGCGCGCGGCAAACACTGTTATTTGCGATGTTTTCATGCACTTGTGCCAAGACAACCTCTGCAGCTGTGTTTTTGGAGGCTTGCATTTCCGAAAACGCATTTGCCCAAGTTCAGGACTTTCACGGTTTTTGTGGGACGTGTTTTGGGCATGGTCGCGACAGGCTGGACGCTTGTGACAGATTTTCTTGTTCCACATCCTTGTGCAGCATGTTGTACAGAGAGACGAAAACGCCCCCCCCCCCCCCACCCCCCCCCCCCACCCCCCCCCCCACCCCCCCCCCCACACCCCCGCCCCCCCCCACCCCCCCACCCCCCCCCCACCCCCCCCCCACCCCCGCCCACCCCCCCCCCACCCCCCCCCCACCCCCCCCCCACCCCCCCCCACCCCCCCCCCCACCCCCCCCCCACCCTCGATGGCAAACCTGGCATCCTGCGGGGAAGTTTACTCAGGGGGTGTAAGCACCACAAAAAGTGTCAAGACCCTAAACCCTAAACCCTGAACTCTGCAGAGAAGTGGCCCACAGAAGAACGGACCACTCGACGTCTTCATCCACATCGGTGCCTAGGGTCTTAAGCCTTGGTCGCCCAGTAACCATATTGTAGTAGGGCTTAGGGCTTAGCGCTTAGCGCTTAGGGCTTAGGGCTTAGGGTTTAGGGTTAGTTTATGCAAAAAAAGCCAAAACCAAAAAAAGGGTAAAGGGTACCACTGGGCTGCCAAGAAGCACCTCGATCAGGAATCTGCTGGCGAGTATCCCAATCATCGCCACGTGGAATGGGAAGTCCAGGAGCGTCAGATTGTTGGCGTTGCACTCCTTGGGTAGCCACCCTAAACCCTAAACCCTAAACCCTAAACCCTAAACCCTAAACCCTAAACCTTAAACCTTAAACCCTAAACCCTAAACGCTAAACCCTACCAGGACTCTCCAAGGGGACATGCCTGGACATCCGGCATCTGCTCCTTGCAGCAGCAAGGGGCGCAGCAGCGGGATGACACCATGGTGATCCAAGCTACCTTGGGTAGGGTTTAGGGTTTAGGGTTTAGGGTTTAGGGTTTAGGGTTTAGGGTTTAGGGTTTAGGGTTTAGGGTTTAGGGTTTAGGGTTTAGGGTTTAGGGTTTAGGGTTTAGGGTTTAGGGTTTAGGGTTTAGGGTTTTAGGGTTTAGGGTTTAGGGTTTAGGGTTTAGGGTTTAGGGTTTAGGGTTTAGGGTTTAGGGTTTAGGGTTTAGGGTTTAGGGTTTAGGGTTTAGGGTCTGGGGGTTGGGGTTTGGGTTTTGGGGTTGGGGGTTTGGGGTTTGGGGTTTGCGGTTTGGGGTTTAGGGCGTAGGGTTTGGGGCTGAGCTTGGGATCTGTTAGAATAAGGTGATTCAAACCAATGAGGGGTACCCTCTTTGTTGTTGGTGACGTTCAGAAGGGACCCCTTCCCGCCCCCCCCCCCCCCCCCCCGGCCAAAAAAAAAAAAACTATTACACAAAAAAGAGCGGGGGGGGGGGGGGGCAGTAAAAGAGTACACCACGAAGCCTACCAAGCCACAATCACAGCCAAGCCTATGATCTCTACGATCCACGCCAGGAGAAAAATATTCGGCTCAGCAAAGCGGAGGGTATTCACATCAACTACCACCAGGAGAACCCCCGCAAGGAAGGCGGACACGATGTAGGTAATGGCGGCGATGATGTAAAGGAGCTGTACTTGCGGGTTGGTGGCAAACTCATTGCAGCAATCTGCCTGGCACATCCTCCAGCACCAAAGCGGTTCTTGGAGGAATCCCGTCTTGGGGTGTCTTGAGGCTTGAGCCAGCGGTTCATGGGTAGCTAGAACTGGGGTTAGAACCTAACGGTTAGAAGTAGGGTAGATCTGTATGGCCTTTGTCGGCCTACTGATAACCCTACTTCAGAAGTACCCATGAACCTTCAAGTACGAGTACTCTACGCCTAAATTGAACCCAAATGGCAACCCCCAACTCCCCCCTCCATCATTCAAGAAGATGGAATCGGGGTGGCTGCGGCAACCGGCAGCAGAACCACATGCTGTGATCAAAACGCTTTGAATCGGCCCAAACACAAGTCCATGACGAACAATGCTTTCATTTGTAAGGTTTAGGGTTAGGGCCTCTATATGGCATAAGAGTTTCTTAAATACGGGGGATTGGATTCTTTGAGTGATCTCTTCCCGAACATCGAACCCCGACACCTCAATAGAAGTTCCCCTGTAGAAGAGGTCGGTTTACTGTAATATATGTTTGTAAGTTTGGGTCTCTTGATGATTCGGACATGCAATGACAAATATTACGGGGCGGGAGCATTGGGTCCGTGGTAAGGATTGATGCATGGGCATGGAGGTGGATGAGGTTCATTTTGCACTTCGATCGTCGTACGTGTGCTGCGCCGACAAACCTGAGGTTTCTCCAACTACGATCGGGGTTTTACGTGTTCATAGTTGTCGGTTTAGGGTGTGCCCGGGACCCTCCCCCCCTGCAATTCCACAGGTCCACAGTAAACCCTAAACCCTAAACCCTAAACCCTAAACCCTAAACCCTAAACCCTAAACCCTAAACCCTAAACCCTAAACCCTAAGCCCTAAGCCCTAAGCCCTAAACCCTAAACCCTAAACCCTAAACCCTAAACCCTGCACAGCCTGGCGATGGCCACAGAGCTCTCGCAGCTCTGACAGCGGCGGCATCGCTCGGAGAGGCGCCAAAAGACCTGCATTCAGTGGGTTTAGGGTTTAGGGTTTAGGGTTTAGGGTTTAGGGTTTAGTGCTGTCCAGTTGTAGCTAGCTCATACCTTGAACCCGAAACCCAAACTCTATACCCTAAACCCTGAACCCCAAACAAACCCTAGACCTCACCTCAGACCCTAAACCTCCCCCCCCCCCCCCCCCCCCCCCCCCCCCGGCCCCAAAATATGCCATACATCCAGTCAACTACCCTCACGTCTCCCAACTCCTTCCTAAGACAAGCGCGGGAAGCCTCAACTCGGTAACATTCCGCTTCTGGGGCTGGTTCTTGGCAGGGAATGAGGCACCTAGATAATTACTTCCTTAGAGGGTATAGATGGGGCCCAAATTTTATCGCATTCCCTACTAAGAACCAGATGATTGTGGGATTTGGGGTTGAGGGTTTGGCTTGGGGCTTATTGCCGTTCAGGGTTTAGGGTTTAGGGTTCAAGGTTCTATGTCGGTTCAGGGTTGAGGGTTTAATTCGGGATGCACTCCCCGGCCTGCCGCTTCGTCGCCGCCAGCAATCACGGCAGGCCAGTTGGCCTGTTTCACCCTAAACCCTAAACCCTAAACCCTGAACCCTAAACCCTAAACCCTAAAGCCTGAACCCTAAACCCTGAACCCTAAACCCTAAACACTGGTTAGTTCTAGGTCAGGAAGATCCCTCCTTTTGTTCTCTGTTTTTTTGTTGGGGGGGGGGTGGGGAGTGGGGGTGTCTGGGTGTGGGTTTGAACTGGGTTTAAAAGCTGCACCCCCTTTACCTGGGTCAGACTGAAGGTTTCGGATTTGGGGGGTTTAGGGTTTAGGGTTTAGGGCTTAGGGTTTAGGGTTTAGGGTTTAGGGTTTAGGGTTTAGGGTTTAGGGTTTGGGGTTTAGGGTGTGGGGTTTCTACTTGAAGGTTCAAGTTCTCTGGCCATGCTGTCTTGTAACCAACCTCTGAAGGGGTAGGGGTCCACGGATGGAAGTAGGGCTTGGGTGTTAGGGCTTGCTTGGGAGGTTCATGGTACTTATGAACCCCCTAAACCCTAATCCCTAAACCCTAAACCCTAAACCCTAAACCCAAGTATAACTGTACTTATAACTGCACTTCTAACCATATTCGGGCCCTCAAGGTGCTTATAACTGGGTTAGAAGTACAGTTATCATTGGTTGATAAATTACCATGCACCTCCAACTAGCAGTTCAGGGGTCTTGCCGTTTACTGGAGAGTTGTTTCAGCCTGGCAAACCCCCCCCAAGCTCTCAGAGCTTAGAAGGGGGTTAAACCCTGAACCTTAGACCCTAAACCCTAAACCCGAAGCCCTAAACACTAAATCAGAACAAACCCTAAACCTTCGGCCCGAAGCCCTCGACCCACAAGTCGCCAATTGGAGGTTCGTTAACCCTAAACCCTAAGCCCTAAACCTTAGACCCCTTGAGCGGGGCAAGACGGCGTCAACAAGTCAGGCGGATGTAACTTTTGGCTTGGCAAGTTACAGGTTTCCGGTTTATGGGCTTCACGGTTTCAGGGCCTCAGGGCTTTAGGCCTTAAGGGTTTGTCTACAAGGGCTTGAGGCCTAGGGTGTTCATAAGTTTTTAGGGGTTCAGGGTTTAGGGTTTAGGGGTGCAGAAGTCTGCCTCAATCGCCCCGCAAAGCGTGGGAGCATCTTTGGCGGAGACCTGGGCCGAGTTTGGATTGTTACGCTAAACCCTAAACCCTAAACCCTAAACCCTAAACCCTAAAGTAGTTGCCCCGAGCCCTAAACCCTAAACCCTTCTGGAGCTCCTTGGAGTGCTTTGCAAGCTTCCTACTGAAGATTTCGGGTCTGTGGTTTTTGGGGCTTCGGAGGGTTTAGGGAGTTTAGGGTTTAGGGTTTAGGGTTTAGGGTTTAGGGTTTAGGGTTTAGGGTTTAGGGTCCACGGTGTAGGGCTTAGGGTTTAGGGTTTTAGGGTTTAGGTTCTAGGGGTTAGGCCTTGTAAGGGATAGAAGTTGGGATGTTCACCCTTCTACTAGCAGCCCTGAATAGAGGGTTTAGGGTTTCGGGTTTAGGACTGTTAGTATAAGGGGGAAGACCCCAAGATATAAGGGGTATAAGGAGGGGCTCCTAGAAGGGACTAAGGTTTTAACCCCTACTACATATACCCCTTTCTGGAGCCTTGCATTACCCCGGGTTTGGGCCTTTCAGCAGGCAGAAGCTGAAAATCCTCACTCACACACACACACACACACGCACACACTGTGCGCCATTCTTTGAGTCCTCCCTGGCCCTCAAGCCCAAATACCCCAAACACCTCACATACCCCAAGCTCGAAATACCAAATCCCCAAACACCGAATCCCAAAGCCCTAAACCCCGAATGCCCCAAACCTCTAACCCTGAGCCCCTGAGACCCCAAACCTCAAAGCTAAATCCCAAACCCCGTACCCTTAAAAGCACCAAACCTAAACCTGAACGCACAACTGCCCCAAACCTTACACCCTGAACCCTAAATCCCAAATTCCCAAGACCTTGAGGGCTCAATCTCCAAATCCTAAATGCCCAGACTCTAAACGCGAAATTCTCAAACCCAAAGCACCCTACCCCGAAAGCACCAAGCCCCGAAGCCTTCTGGGCCCGAAACCCCTAAGCCCTGTATAAACCCTATAAACCCTACAAACCGTATATACCCTACAAACCTTATAAACCCTATAGACCCTATAGACCCTATAAACCCTATAAACCCTGCAAACCCCATAAACTCAACCAAGCCCTAAACCCTGAAAACCCTAAACCCTAAACCCTAAGCCCGCAGCCCTAAACCCTAAACCCTAAACCCTGCACCCCCCAAAACCCTCACATTCCCTAAACCCCCCAAAACCCTCAACCCTACACCGGCTCCCCACAAGGGTGCCTGCACGGCCCCTTTGGCCGCCGCATCCCCACCGCCCGAGGCGCCGCAGCGGGCGTAGACGAAGCGGACAAGGGCCTAAGGGGTTTAGGGTTTTGAGTTAGGGTTTAGGGTTCAGGGTTTAGGGTTTAGGGTTTAGGGGTTGTGGGGTTTAGGGGTTTAGGGGTGGGTTTAGGGTATCTTGGGGGGGGGGGGCGGGCGGTTAGGGTGGAGGGTTCAGGCTTTGGGGGTTTATAGAGTCCAGGGTTTAGGGGTGTTAGGGGTTTAGAGGTTTTAGGGGTTTAGGGTCCTAAAGTCGAACCCACCACCTACGAAGCTGAAAGCCTGAACTCTAAACCCTAAACCCTAAACCCTAAACCCTAAACCCTAAACCCTAAACCCTAAACCCTAAACCCTAAACCCTAAACCCTAAACCCTAAACCCTAAACAACCCAGAACCCCTCGCACACCCCTGGGGCTAAAGGTTTGCAGGGTTTACAAGGTTCGGGCTGCTTGCAGGGATGTCAGACAGGGCTTGCTCGTGCTTCTTTGGCGCCAAGCCTTAAGCCCTCAACTATGCGGGTTTAGGGTGATGGTTTAGGGAGCCTCAAGCACGAAGAGCCCCAAACCCTAATCCCTAAGGTCCTGGATTCAGGTTCCCGGGTTAGGGTTTCGGGTTCAAGGCCTAGGAGTTGTAAGGTCTAGGGCGGGGGCGGGGGGTGGTGGAGACGGGGGTTTAGGGTTTAGGGTTTAGGGTTTAGGGTTTAGGGTTTAGGGTTTAGGGTTTAGGGTTTAGGGTGCGGGGGAGGGGGGTCCACTAAACCGACAATAGCTTCCCAATGGGTGATCTTCGATACCAGACTAGCGAGCTTGACTACTGGAATGCTTCCACTTGAGATGCTGTACCCTCAACCCTAAACCCTAAACCCTAAACCCTAAACCCTAAACCCTAAACCCTAAACCCTAAACCCTAAACCCTAAACCCTAAACCCTAAACCCTAAACCTACAAAAAATCCAATTGTCTTCGAGGCTCCGGTTTAGGCTTCGGGGAGAATTTGGGGAGAGTTTGGGTTCGTCTGTAACGGCGATAAACCCCCAAAACCTAAACCCCAAGCACGTACCCCCAAGCCAAAACCTCAGCCCCCAAGCCCTAAACCCAAACCCTAATAAGCCTCAGCCCGAAGCCCTAAAGCCTAAACCCAAATGTTGTGCCTGGTTTTGTGGGGCCCTCCTGTATAAAGTCAAATTGGCTGGGTTATTCACCCTGACTAGTTGGGGGTGCGCGGCGGGATCCTGAATGAAGTCAAATCGTCCGGGCGCCGTCAGAAAATTCCACACGCCGCACCTTCAAAAAAGATTGCCGGGCATCGCTGCCCCTTTTAAACTCCACCCAAGTAAAATCATACAAAATTTCCGGGACCGTGTAAAGAGGAGCAAATCCAGCCTCGACTGTTAAGGAGGG